AAATCGTATAAATTTCGTGATAAAATCAGTGATCAAATCATGTAAATTCCATATAAATCCCGTGCAAATTCCGTATCCAAACCATATTTTTAGTGATACGGAATTGTGCATTTTTCCGTATCCTATTATGATACGTTATTTCTAAGGAAAAAAAATCGTATAAAAACTTTATAAAAAACGTATCCAATTTTTTTATAGGGAATCTATCTTATGTATAGTATTTTTTAATTTATATTATATGCTATAATTTATCCTAATATTAATGTAATTATTATAACACTGTTGCAAATATTAGGGTGAGACGTTGGGATGCGCTGTTAACTATGTAAATCCAAACTATATCAAGTCGCCTAAGATTTTATATAATTAATGTTTTAGAGTCTAAATTTGATAAACAGAATTTTCATAATAAATTACTATAAAAAACACTACATTTTTTTTAGATGCACAGATCGAACAACTTCTTCTTTCTCAAATATTTTCACACTTATTAGCTTCTTCAAACTATCTTTACAAAATTACGAAACTTTTTTTACATTTACTGGTAAATTATTTTTCATTACAGTCATTAATACCTATAAATTGTATTTCTTGAATTAGATTATCAATTTGTTCATTTCCTGTAAAAAAAGTCAATCCATTTTTTATATTCCATCTTTTTTTCCGTAAAAGGTTCATATTTCCGGAATTAATAACCTTATATCACGGAATCTATCGAATTATTTTCATTTTCCGTGAAAAATTTTTTATAGGGTCCATGGTTTAGCCCTTCTTCCTTTTGGTAATTATGTAATCATTTTAAAGCGGCATAGCTGGCTACAGTACAATGGTAAATGATCTCAGTCCCAAGTTATGTTGAAAGTATTTCACAGCCTATACTACTGCAAGACTGTAAATCCTTGATTGCAAATCTCATATTAATGATTTTCATATCCCTTATTTTAATTTTTAGATTGCAGCTAAAAAAAAAATGATTATAGTTAACAATTAAAAAATAATTTTATACTAAAATAAAAAAATATAAAATTACCGTTAATATCACATTGTAATTTTAAAAATTATCAGTATAATTATATATTAGGATAGTGAGATTTCGGTTATCATGGATATGATTTGATGCCTGATTGGATTGTGATTGTCATAAACTCGAGACACGAGATTTCGTAACAAATACAAATCCAAATTAAAGAAATATTACTTTATCATGATTACAGGATAACACGTTAAACGATATTTAAGTATTTTCAGAATAATATAATCACTTTGATGTGTGTGGTACAACTTTTTCAATTTTTTTAAAAAAATAATATTTATTATTAACTCATTAGCGGATATTTTGTCAAATTTATATTAAGTTCTTATTTCATCTAGTAATATTCAGAATTTAGACGTTCATATAAAAATATGAAAGTATTTTTGAATTAAAATCGGAATACAATTTTATATTAAAAAGTATCTGCACTCGTTAAAATAGGGAATAAAAACGTAAAATTGATGTTTCGAGTATAAAACTGTTAAACAACTATATAAGTATAGTCGTATACTTGTTGACGTTCAAGATGGATTTGGTTTCACAATACAAAACTACATCATGTGAAAATTTAAACTCGCATTTTTGGGAATTTCAATAAACTAACGACTTTTATTTACAATATTGCTTTTAATAATTAAAAAAATATAATTACTAATACATTAAAAAAAATCCTTTTACAGTAATGTACCATAAGAAATTTCAAAGGTAAATTATTTTTTTGGTCCTCCCCAAAAACAATATTTTAACATCACTATCCCTCATAAACCAATATTCAATAACTTCATGATAAAATACTTGATGAATTTGAGAAGCAGGTGTATACAAATAACCACCAGGGCGTAAATCATAATCAATACCTGTTGTAAGATTCTTAACAGTTTTATGACCACGAATAACAAAAACGTCATGACCGTGAGTATGATGATGTGATGCTAAAAAAAAAGAGAAAGAAAATTCGTTAATTCGTTAATTTGATACAATTCTTTTGTTCTTCTCACTCTTTTGGTTAAGAAAGAATAAATAACAGACTTACGTTCCATAGACCCCTTTGGAAATCTGAGTCTTTCAATACTATCATCATTATTATCAGAAGCGTTTACATGTCGTTCTTGTCTTAAAAGATACGTTCATCTCCCCCACTTAATGCTTGAGTTGAATAAGGAATATGTGAATGATTACTAATAAGTTTTGGAATTTCTTTCATCGAATTTTTAAGGAAATCCTATAAAAAAAAAAGATGCTATCATATGTGATATTTTTCAATTTCAAAGAACATTTTTATGAACTTACTTTAACATCCTGTTTGTCTTTCCATCCACTAGTAAACTTGTTTTTCGATAATTTCCTTCGCATTATCATTGTTTGTGACCATACTTCCTAAAGTTAAGACATTTGAATTATTAATTCCACGAGAATCAAAAGCAGTTTTAACATCTTGACATGGAAAAGCATTAACTCCAGGAACTTTATTCGCAATAATTGACATACCCTACAAAAATAAAAAAAAAATAAAAAATTTACAAAAATTTAAATAATTATTTAAATTGAATAAATTCATACCATTCCGGTACCACAAATAAAATTCCTTTTTATTCTTCGGAATTTTCAAGTTTTTTTCTTTCGCCAACTAATGACGCAAGTTCAAAAGCAATATCATAATATTTGTCTTATGCTCCTAATCAACAATTTCTAAGTTTGAAAATTGATCATTAGTCGATAAATGATTTTTTACTACATCTTTTAATTCTTTTCCATATGAATCAGAACCCAAATAAATTTTGATATTTTTTTCATAACGGCAATTTTTTGTGTAATGGAACAAATTCGAAATTTCTAAATTCTTTTAAAGGGATCACAGGGATCACTTGATTAGTAATCATATCACAAGATCAATATTAAAATTATCATTGATCCACAAAATTCTTTTAAGGATCGTTGACATTTACGTACAATAGGGCTCAACTTGGAGATCATGATTTATTTCATATGTGAATATTTTACGATATCTTTCTGAAAAAGATGATTCAAGCATGAATTTATAAGAAAATGAATAAGAAACTACGAGTTTAATGTACAACTTCTGAAAAGATCATAGGATACTATTCGGAACGATAATATCTTGCTTGGCGTTTTAAAATGATATTGAATTCTTAATTATCGTTTGTACCTTGTATACGCATTCCGGAGTACAACCCAGATAGTAATTAATCAAACTAGTAATAGATGAAGTGCAAATGGGATATATTAAATGTTATACAAAACAATAATAAAAGATTTGATGTCATTTTGCAAAATACTGTATGATTTTTCATAATGTCGTTAAACGAAATCAAGATTCAACTCACAAGTCTTCTATTAATTTTTAATTCGAGTATTTTTAATTCGAGTATATTAAAATTTAAATTACTCATATTTAATGAATTTCTACAAATTTTATTATTTAATTTCTGAACAAATTAAAGCTTGCCTTTATAAAGTAAAAGTAACATTAAATTGTTGTATAATCCTTATATAAATTCATCGTTTAAGAAATAAATTGTTATAATGACGAAGATTCAATTCTATCGCAGCGTAATTGAATTACACAAAGCTGATAATTAAATAAAAAAGTTAATAATAGTTAATAATATTTAATTACATTCTTAAAAAAGAATACCATTTTTTTTTTTTTGGTAAAAAGTTTGAAATTTTAAATGAAATTTGCGTTAATAATAATAGTTCTTTCTTTACAACCATTCTAACGCCTTTTTTAAAACAAATAGATATGGTTAGATTTAGATCAAACATTATTATACAACAAGCCATATTCAACCTCTGGATGCCGGAATAATTGTAAGTTTCAAAAGAAAAAAGAACTAGATGTAATATCTGATTCTCACGTTACTTTATTAGCAGATGCATTAATTCATGATGAGATACGTGAAGTTAGTGCTCCGCAAAATTCGGGTCTAACCTAGATAATTCAACCCGAGTGAATTTTAAATCGGGTTGGTATTACAGTAACAATTTTAATAACCCGTGACCCGCATGACCCAACCCATCAGGTCGGGCCATTCATTTCCTTGACTCAGGTTTTGACCCGAATTAGACCCGGATGATTACTGATCACATATTTACGCGTTAATATTGATTATGTTCATATATCATTATTGATTACGATTATCCAATCTTTTTTTCCCAGCTATTCCACCAAGCCACCTCAAGAAATATTTGATTACCGACCTTATAATGTCAATTGATCTAACACACCTCCGCCATCTAGTCGTCTTGGAAAAAAGAAAAGCTATCTTTTTACTTAAAATCTCTTTGTGCAAAGAGATCTTCCACCAACATAAGGATGCAAAAACTCATCGTGAAGTCCAGTGTCTTAAATGTTCGTAAGTAAAATTTAGTGCTCCGCAAATTTTGGTCTAACCCGGGTTATTCGAATTAAATATATTTAAGATCAGATTATTTCTATTTTTCCCGGGTCGTGTCGAATATATTCTCCAAACCTGGCCGAACCCGACCCAATAGGAACACTACGTGAAGTGAAAATGATCCTGAAGAAGTGCAAATTCAAGTGTCTTTGGGCGATGTATTTAAACTTGGGTAAATTTTTTTGAACAAAAAAACATAAAAAACATCTTACTTTTCAGCTTGCTATCATGTAATTTCAAGTTCTAATAACTCAACATTTTAGCTTATAATTTTTTAAAATTATATTTTGCAAACTACCTTATTAAATTTTTATTTTTTGGATGTATTTGATCAGCACGAATAATTTATTGATGTTACTATATCATTATCGAACCGTTTGAAATCACAAATACTGTATATACATAAAATTTTCTGGGGATTTAAGTCCTCCCTGTCCTCCTAGACTCATCTTAAATCTTTTTGTTTATTTTATTATAATTTTGACTTTCAACTTTTATTATTATTTTTATTTTATTTATTCAGTTTCGTAGTGCTACGAATTTAATTTTAAACCAATAGGTTTACACTGCATAATTATTACTTTGTATTATATTATAATTTCCAACTTCAGATGTGGTAATTATGCTAATTATTGTCTTTGCCGATCATTTCCAATGCGGTTTTTCAAAAAATCAAAAAAGTGGTATTCAAAACTACTTTTACCACCCTAAGTAAACTTGCAAAGTAGCCAAAAGATACATCTACTTAATGACCTTCGGAAGTTTATGTATTATATATTAAGAAAAATTTTCTCCGTCCGCGCAGCAATGACGCTTGATAATTGATAATCCCGGATGCGCAAAATTTGTCGTACATGCGATCAACATTTTGCATTTTGTATATTATTACTATATATACCCATATCAATAAAGGCGTAAAAAAAAAAATAAAGTTATTTACATTATCTTCTCCATTTAAGTAAATGATAATGGCCCACAGTAATGATAAAGGTATAAATCATATATATAGCATGAACATTTAATACGAATTAGAATTCAATATTTTTAAACAAATTTTGCAATATAATAAAATTAGTTACCGAAGAATTTGAAGGAAGTAGCAATAAGGAATCCAAAGGTAAATATAATATATTAAACAAGCGGATATATTGAATTTTTATTTAATTATTAAGTAAAAACTATTTAAACTAACAATTATATTAAATAATAATTTAGCTCGTAAGTTAATAGGTTATATTATAATTGAATAATAATGAGAATACTTATTTTTGTTATATTTCATATTACCAAATAATTCAATTATTGATTAATAATACTATTTCAAAGTATTTGATTAGCACCTCATAAGTTGCTTTAACATCTCCCATAATGTACTGTCTAGATAGTTTGTAAGCTATCAGTTATTTAAATCTTTAGTTTTTTTATTTTATTTCACATAATATTCAAATAACTAAATTCTTTGTTTAATCAACTATTTAATATTACAGATGGTAAGTTACAATATTTGAAAACTATATTTATTTGTTTAATATTTCGTATAACTTAACTAATTATATTTTTCATAAATGATTAGATTGTAAGTGATATATTTAATTTACAGTATATACTCTTATGTCCATATTTAACTAATTAATAATTAATAATACTACAGGGTGTAAGTTATATGTTATCTATATTTCTATTCTATATATAATTTAATTCGTGATCCGCCAATAAACCATAAAAATTAATTAGACAAATTTGGTGAATTTTATGTCGATCATATAATAAAAGATTCCAAATTGTAAAAATTGATCATGTTATGAGTACGACTTAAATGCGTAATACAAAAAAAAAACTCCTTATTATAACGTGACAAATCCTGAATTTTTATTTTATGAATTTAATCGAAACGATTTAAAAAAAATTTTTTGACTTTGCCTTCCCGGAATGTGAGATTCCAGGTATTTTATTGATTATTAAGAATGACGAAAAACGACAATTTTTGCCTCAAACTACTTAAAAACCAGCTATAGCTTGTTCAGATAAGTCCTTTTTGGACTTTGCGGCAAATCTTGCTATCCAATTATTAATAGAAGTTACTTCTGGAATTTCAATGTCTCGTGCTAATTCTCCGTTTTCTTGTTTTTCAACTAGTTTATCTCGCATATTATGCCCATTCATTCTTCTGTTTTTGTGAACATTACCATCCAAGAAGAACCGTTCTAATAAAGCTATAACTTGAGGTGCAATTCTTTTTCCTGAACCCTTTTTACCATATTTTTGATTATGCTTTAGTGCCCAACCACATAGCAAAGGAAATGCACTTACGTTGCTGTTTGATTTACAAATATCAGACTTTTCTTCTTAAGCGATATTGAATATTTTATAATTTTTTATTTTACCTGTCATATGACGTATTGGTTATATTACCTAAGATTCCCCCTTCGTTATCTATAATAGATTCTTGTTATTAGGCGCTTTTATACAATTGACTTTTTAAACTTACCAATTTTTTTGGTTTGCATTTCTTTAGCTATTTCATTTTCTAAAATTTCAATCATTCCTGCACGATTTTCTTTTTCATTTGTCATTATTCCTCGATTTTCCAATTCCTCTTGCAGTTGTTTTACCTTTAGTCGCTTTACACCAATATCTGGTAAATAAATTTGATTTATCAATTATCTGATTTTATTTGTATAATGTAATCAAGACACTTACTTGAACTATGTGGCATTGGTATCTTCCAAGAGGATTTTGATGTCGTGTGCAAGGAAATTTGAGGTTGCGGCATGTGCATTCCAGCTTTCGCCCAATTGGATATTTGATTTGGAGTAAAGGTTTTCCATTCGCCAATGTGAGGTAAGGCTCTCGCTTGTATACACCCATCTAATCCTTCTTCTTCTGGCCACCTCCATTCAAAATAATTCGAAATTCCAGGAATTGTTTTTACTTTATTTTCTTTATTTTCTTTATTATTTCAAATAGTGCGTTAAATTATGCATAAAATCAATTCTCTAACAAAAAAATTATTTACCATTATCTCTATCAGGTTCTAAATGTGCTACACGAATTCCAGCAATATCTTCAATTGCTTCTTGAATATTTTCACCATTCCTTATTTCAAATCCCAATTTAACACGCCTTTTGATTGATTGTGAGATCTATTTAATTCAACAATTAATAAAGTAAGAAAATTTTGAATAAATTTAGAACTTTTATATACCTGTGCATGATGGGAATCGATAGAGGTTTTCGCCTCTCCTGCTTCTAGAAATACCCATTTATTTACTTTTATATCGTACCATTCTTTCCAATAACTCAATATTATCATCAATTCAGAATTGTGATAATGGGGACCATTGTCCGAAATGATGCTTATCCATTCAGGCTTCTTATCAAGAACTTCTATTACCCCATGTAAAGATGAAGCAGTAAACCACGCGTCCTGCTTTGCATCACACGACCAGTGATCAAAAGCTTCAATACGGATTTGGCTGTTACTGGATTTTGTATAAACTAGAACAGAATGCAAAGACCACCCTTTTTTACCATAAAAATCTTGCTTTGTTTCTCTTGCAGTTTGTGGTAAGATTTTCATTTTATAATCTACTAAGAAAATTGCCCCCTTTTCATCTAATTCTAATATTGTTGCATTGAATTGAGAATTCAAGTAAACTTTTCTTGTTTGATGCGATAGGTAGTAGATTAGCTTTTCTTCATATATTTTCAAATCGTCAAGAGAATCCAAGCCAATAATTTTTTTGAGATCATTAAAGAAAGTAAATAACTCTTGACATTCATTACATATTTGAGTATGTAATTTATCACACGTTCCAAAAGCGTATAGCAAGCAATGATTAATGCAAGGATCATGTCTGGTTGTACCATTTTCTGATATTGTGAACTTTTGTTCATATGATTTTTTAAGGTAACGTTGTAAGTTCTCAGCGCGTTGAATGAAATTATTCTAAAATTATTTAGTTAATAAGTTGTTTGTTTTGTATATCAATTATTAATCTAACTTTACCTGAATTTCCATCAAACTAACTTCTTTTTGAATTAGGTTTTTCAAATATCCAAATACTTCGTAACCATAAGTATTACAAATTGCACAAAGTCCTCCCATATCTTCACGATATTGGTAGCGATTTCCTTCCAACTGACAATAAAAGGTCGTTCTTTTTAAACCATTTGGATATGTTTCCTGAAATTTCTCCCAAAGTGCTTTTTTTGTGTTTTTTAGATAAAGAACAGGTAATTGAGTTTTGGCATCTGATTTGTAAGATGACATAATAACGTTTGCTTTGTCTTCAAAAAAAATGCTAAATTGTTCCAGTTTTTCTTGCGATAATTTAGCTACTGTTCTTATAGGTTTCTCAATTTGCTTAGCGCCTGGACCATTTAATCTAGCATATTTGCGAGCATCAAAAATTGTAGTAGGAGCGACCTATATTGGAAATTGATAAGTAAAATTGTAACAAAAAAAAAAAATAACTGGGTAAATCAATAAACTAACCAGTAAGTTTGTCCTAATTTCTTCATATGAAAAATCATCCGCAATTATTGATAGAATTCTTCTTTTTCCATCAATCCCTTTTTTGTTCACTTTTAAAGATTCGTTAAAACAAGACCAAAATTTATTCACAATAGGATTAGGATTGTCATCTGGGAGAGACATATCAAGAAAATTATTCTCATACAAATAGATAAGAACATGCTTATCATCAATTGGATTTTCAGCTTTAGTCCAAAATTCCTTCTAAAAAATTATTTCGTTATTAATAAAATAAAAAAAAATTTTTTTCCAAAGCAATTACATAACTCACATCCGATTTATCTTTATCAAATGGTGTAATA